GCCCTTCTAAGACCCATTGGACAAATCTTATGGGGGTGAGGACTTCAGGGTCTTCTCCCAGAGCCAGGGAGCAACGCCCTGGCCTTTGCGGCATCGGGACACTCACAGTCCCTGAGGCTCAGAGACGCTAGACTTTTAATCCTACCCATTACTAAACCAAAGAAAACAGGCCGTTTCTGGGGCAGCGGGTGGGCTGGAGCAGTCTCCATCACCCGCCCCCCCCCCTTTATATTTATAGCAGCACTTGTACCTGGTCAGGGCAGGTGATGAGGTACAGAGAACTCAGTGTTGAGAGACCTGGGTTCCAGGGTCCACTGAGTCACTCCCGCCCTCAGTTTACCTATCTGTAAAACAAGGGTGATTTCCGTGCCTGCCCCCCTCACCCCCTGGGGCTGAGAGCTAAGCAAGTGAGCGTGAAGGGTGCAGGGTGCAGATGGGAGCCAGGGCGAGGTCTCAGAATGCAGGTGCTGCCTCTGAACTCAGGGCTGCTTCCCGTCAGCTGACAGGAGGCTCTGCTCCACATCAAGATGGTGAGAAAATACATTTTATTACAAAAGTAGTTCTTTCTCCTGATACTTCAATCTCCCAATCCGAGTGTTATCTCCCCCCAGTGGATTAAAATTCTGATTTGCTGGGGCACCCGAGTGGCTCAGTCGGTGAAGCGTCGGACTTTGACTCAGGTCAAGATCTTGCGGTTCATGAGTTCGAGTCCCGTGTGGGGCTCTGTGCTGACCGCTCGGAGCCTGGAGCCTGCTTCGGATTCTGTGTCTTCCTCTCCCTCTGTCCCTCCCCCACTCACACTCTCTCTCTCAAAAATAAATAAACATTAAAAAAATTCTAATTTGCCTGGGCACCTGGGTGGCTCAGTCGGTTAAGCATCTGACTTTGGCTCAGGTCATGGTCTCTCAGTTCATGAGTTCAAGCTCCGCATTGCATCAAGCTGTCTGCTCTCAGCACAGAGCCCACTTTGGATCCTCTGTCTCCCTCTATGCCCCTTGCCAGCTTGTTTTCTCTCTCTCTCTTCGTCTCTCTCCCTTCCTCCCTCTCATAATAAATAAACAAACTTTAAAAAAGGGTAAAGGTCCTAAAATTCTGATTCGCCTGTCGTGTCTGATGCCCTTTAAACACGCTTTCTTATTTTTTAATGTTTATTTTTGATAGAAAGAGACATGAGCAGGGAAGGGGCAGAGAGAGAGGAGACAGAGGATCAGAGGCAGGCATCAGCAGCGAGCCCGATGTGGGGCTGGAACTCACAAACTTTGAGATCATGACCTGAGCCAGAGTTGGACACTCAACCGACTGAGGCACCCAGGTGGCCCTTAAACACCCTTGAGATGGCCAGTCATGCCTGCTGGACCTGGCCCGCAGCAAGCCCAAGCCTAAGGGAGGAAATTCAGGGCACCATGGGGTTCCAGCTGTCTGGCACGGCCCAGGAAGGTTCCCAGTGGGGACCTCCCCACCCCCACCCCCACCCCCACCCCAGCCCTGCACATGAGGCTGCCACCTGCCTGGGACAGGCTGATTACAACACAGCTGCTGTGGGAAGGGAGGGTGGGGAAGTGGGAGGGGTGGAGAGGCCGGAAGGGGGCGGGGTTGGTGTTCAGGGAGGGGACAGGGAGGAGACAGGGAGGGGACAGGGAGGGGACGGGGAGCTCAGCCCTGCACTCAGACCCCACACAGCCTCAGACCCCACACAGCCGTGAGGTGGCACAGCCTAGTGGTGAAACGAAACCACGTGTGTGACGAACACACCATGTTCTACTTTGGACGCAGCTTTGACTGTTAGTGGACTTGTGCTTCTGTTCTCTGGGTCAGGGAGGACCCAGGGGTGCAGGCCAGGTTTGTGGATTCAGTCCTGCACTCACCAGCCACCCTGGGACCCAACAAGTACCTCAGAAGAAGGGGTGTATCCACCTGAAAAGAATAAAGCTGGACCCTTACCTCACACTGTGAGGAAGACACAATATGGGTAAAGCCCTGAACAAAAGGGCTGAGAGACTGCAGGAGTCTTGAAAGAAAACATACAGGTAAAGCTCTGTGACCTTGAGTCTGGCCATGGCTTCTTAGGTGCGACAATATAAGTACAAGCAACCAAAAAATAAAAAACAGAAACTGGACTACATCAAAATGTTAAAACTTTTGTGCTTCAAGGGGCACCTGGGTGGCTCAGTTGGTTGAGCATCTGACTCTTGACTTCGGCTCAGGTCGTGATCTCATGGTTCATGAGTTCGAGCTCCTGTGCTCGTGGCGTGGAGCCTGCTTGAGATTCTCTCCCTCTCTCTCTGCCCCTCCCTCGGTCATACACAAGCACACATGCTCTCTCTCTCTAAATAAACATGAAAAAAATAAAGAAATAAAAAGTTTGTGCTTTAAGACAGAACATCAAAAGTGAAAAGACAACCCACTGAATGGGAGAAAATCTTTGCAAGCCATGTATCTGAGAAGGAGGTCTCACAACCCAGTAACAGAAAGAGAAATACGCTGAATGAAAAACAGGTGAAGAGGGGCGCCTGGGTGGCTTAGTCGGTTAAGCGTCCGACTTTCGCTTAGGTCATGATCTCGCGGTTCGTGGGTTCGAGCCCCGCGTCGGGCTCTGTGCTGACTGCCAGCTCAGAGCCTGGAGTCTGTTTCAGTCTGTGACTCCCTCTCTCTCTGACCCTCCCCTGCTCACGCTGTCTCTCTCTCTCTCCTAGAAATAAATAAAAATATTAAAAAAAAGAAAAACAGGTGAAGAGGGGCACCGGGGTGGCTCAGTCGGTTAAGTGTCTGACTTCAGCCCAGGTCATGATCTCACAGTTCTTGGGTTCGAGCCCCGCGTCGGGCTCTGTGCTGACAGCTCAGAGCCTGGAGCCTGCTTCGGATTCTGTGTCTCCCTCTCCCCCTGCCCCTTTCCCGCTCACTCTGTCTCTGTCTCTCAAAAAAAAAAAAAAAAAAGACATTAAAAAAAAACAGGTAAAGAAATGAAACAGCCAAGATGTATAAGTGGCTGATAAGCACTCAGCATCACTACTCATCAGAGAAATTCAAATCAAAGCCATGCTGCAATCCAAATGTGGGCCACACCCGCACTGCTGGGGGACGGGGGAAACAGCCACGTTGGAAAACACCCCGGAAGTTAAACAGAGTAAGCACACGACCCACCCATTCTACTCCCAGAGGAGCCGTCTTTACTCACACCACCTCTGACGCCCAAGGTGAGGATCCTTCTCCTCTGCGCCCCCAGCTGGGCGTCCAACAGTTCAGTGCAGTTCTGACGCTAACAGCCCAGAGGTGGCGCAGATCCCATCTAACGTTCAAGGCTCCAGTCTGTCCCCACTTCCACGTCCGTCTCAAGTCCCAAGCCACCTGAACTTCTGACAAACTGGCTCTATACTTTGGGGTTCCCGCAAAAACTTCCTCTGGCTGATCATTTGCTGGAGCAGCTCACAGGACTCTGGCAAACCTCACTTCATTCACATTTGCCAGTTTGTTGTAAAGGACGCGGCTCAGGAACAGGCAAGAGCAAGAGGCACAGAGCACAAGGTACGGGGTGGGAGTCGGGCTCCCTGCCCTTCCACTTCCACGCGTTCAGCAACCCGGAAGCTCTCCCAATTCCACTGTTCGGGATTTTTATGGAGGTCATGATGGAGGCATTGGTGATGGACTCAACCTCCACCCCCCACCCTCTACCCCTCGCCACCCGCCATCCACCATCCCCAGGTAGGAGGTGGGCCTGAAAAGTTCCACCTCTCTAAGCCAGCCTGGGCCAGCCTGGCCACCAGCCCCCTCCCGGAGCTAGCTAAAGGGCTCCCGGGCACCAGGCATCTCATCGGCACACCAAAAACACACTCTCACTGGGGGGAGTTCAAGTGTTTTAGGAACTCAGTGCCAGGACCCAGGGACAAAGCCCAACTATCTTTGTCTTATTAAGCCACACTAGGTATACGTTCAAGAGTTATACACACGTATGTCCACACAAAAGCTTGGACAGGAGCATTCAGAGTAACGTTGTGCATAATTGATAAAGGGTGGAAACACAGCAAGGTCCCTCGGGTGACTACCGGACACGCAAAATGTGGCATGTCCCTGCCCAGATACGCGCATCATGCGAAGTGAGAGAGGCCAGACACAAAATACCATACTGCCTGATTCCACTCCACCGCTCCAGCAACAGCCCAGCCAATGAGAGACTGTCACAGTTCAGCCAATGAGAAGCCGCTACACTTCCAACTCCCAGTTCGCTCCAAAGGACAGCCCTCCCACTCCCTCCTTCCCTCCATAAAGGTTACTTTGTTCTCCAGATTTTGTAATTCTCTGCTACTCCCAAATAAACCCATCTTTGCTGGTTTTGCTCAACCCTTCGGTGGATGAGTCACATGGAACACTGATTACATTTCAATAAATAAAGCTGTATGCAGTAGAGGGTAATATACTCCCTGAACAAAGTTTCTGTAAAGTTTGAAATACACACGGGAAGGCCACGGTCACGGCACAGCACTGCGCTGCGGAAGGTCAGCCCTCAGGCGAGGACAGCTCTCCTGCCGCGCACGAGCCTTCTGGTCCAAAAATCACAGCTTGACCCCTGCTCCAGGAGGACAGCGGACGCCCCACGTCCCCAGACTCCTTGGCAGCAGGTGCCCAGGGAGGGATAAGCCAGCACAGCTGCTGGCATGTGCAGGGCTTTGATCTCCACATCTGCCTCCTTCCTCCAAGGTGCCAGCTGCCCAGAGCCCAGCGATCCTGAAAGCCTGCCTCCTCCAACAAAGCCTGGTGGGCTTCAGCTGGGCCCTGGCAGAGACGCAGGCTACATTTCCACCTGGATGAACACATTAGTGGGCATGCTCAATCAAGCAGCTCACTGAACACTCAGCGCTCCAGTGCCGCCTCCAAACCACTAGGAATAAATCCTGAGTCATGTGGGCCTAAGGCTCCAGGGAGGGCTGCCCAGTCTGCCTGACATGCTGGACACCAGAGTAGAGGAAGGCATTGTTGTGGGCACAGAAATGCCCCTGTCATCCTACCTTGCAGTGACACAGGATCGAGATGGCAGATTAGACCTGGTTTCAACAGCCTGGATGGAAGCCCAGCATTTCTCCCCAGGACCCTGGGAGCTCCTGGACCCCAGATGTTCCCAGGTGGCTGCCTGCCTGCTGAGCTCGCGGAGGCAGAGGCGGACGCAGGCGATGCAGACTAGCAGCTTCATCTCGCAGTAAGCGAGCCAGACAGTTTACCCAGTTCTCAGTACAAGGTCACTCCCGTCTGTGGAGGGCCTGACCCACACAGAGCCCTCTGGACCGGACAGGAATGCAGATCTCCCTCTCTCCCCCTTGTAGCCTCCTCCTGGGACTGTCTCTCCTCCAGTGAGTCCACAAACTGGCAGTTCTGCTTCCGGAAGCATCTCAGGATGCTTCTCCGCAACCCCAGTGACGCAAGGAATTCATGACTCGGCCTGAAGTCATAGAGCTTGGCTCCCTCCTAAGCAAAGGAGACGAAGGCAACAGCAGGCTGCCAGCCTGTCTGTGGGACAGCAGAGTGACAATTCACAAAGGAGAGAGGCACTGGATGGAGTCAGGAGGTCAGAAGGGGAGGCTCTGCCACTTGCAGCAGCTACACGCAGCCTGGTCAATTACAAATTTCCAGAGAAGAATCGCCCAGGAAGGACTCCTCGGTCTGGTGCCTCCACAGAAAACCACGTACCCTGCATCTTCTACAGGAACTTGACCATCCCCGCAACTCAGCCAATGGGAAACTCTCATCACCCTGAGCCCTGGCTCTTCTCCAGTGGACTTGCCTTCGGAACCACCCATCCCAACTTCCTCTTCCTCCTCCATAACATCCCTTTCCTTGCTGGACTTGCTAAGGATTTGCCACACCTTGCTTGTCCCAACTTCAGCTCTCTGCTCTTTCCAAATAAACCCATTTTTGCTGAAAAAATAACTGACTTTTCTTATTTTTAACGTCACCATTCTTTTGGGGATCAGAAGTGGGGTCCAGAGGCGGCCACCGACAACTCAGAGGCTGGGGACACACGGGTGCCAGTGTCCCGGAAGCCACCCGGGCTCACGGCTTTCATGCGGATCCTGGCGTGTGAGGGCAAGTTTCTCCTGAATTCCAGTCTCCGCTCTCTGTGTGTGAGCTCTCCTGGCTTTTTTCAGGATCTATTTTAAGGCTTTGACCTTTTGGAGAGTACTCACTTGGACTTTGGTCGGGCTTCTGTTTGGAACTGGGCTGTTCCTGTTGGGACTGCTGTGTAGGACTTTTTTATTCCTGCTCTAGACACAAACTACTAAGAATGGGACTCCAGGGGCGCCTGGGGCCTCAGCTGTTTAGGCCTCTAACTTCAGCTCAGGTCACGATCTCGCAGTTCGTGAGTTTGAGCCCCATGTCGGGCTCTGTGCCGACAGCTCGGAGCCTGGAGCCTGCTTCGGATTCTGTGTCTCCCTCTCTCTCTGCCCCTCCCCTGCTCATGCTTTGTCTCTGTCTCTCTCAAAAATAAATAAAATTTTTAAAAATAAAAAAAAAGAAAAGAAATGCGATTCCAGGCATCAAAACTGGGGACACCATCCCCACTTCTGGGACCACCCTTGGTTTTATGTTTAAAAACTCTGGTCCCTCCTCATGCACACTTCTAATTAAACGGACCAACTTAATCAAAAGTAATTTAGACCGTCAGTGGCCATTATGGGGAACTTCAGCTCCACAAACTTAATGCTTCTCAAAACTAAACCAGACAGCCAGGCTCTAAAATTGTCACAATTGAATGGGATGCCTATCTGGATTGGAATTCCGAAGGTTCCAAACATTATCAGGAATCTAGAACGGCCTCTGCAAAACACACTTTCGAATGGAAGCAAACAAACAGTTAAAGACAAAAAGGCTTCAGAGCGCCTGGCTGGCTCAGTGGAGCCTACAACTCTTGATCTCTGGGTTGGGAGTTCTAGCCCCACAAGGGGTGCAATTTCCTTCAATAAATAAAAAAGTAAAATATTTAAAAAGCAAAAAACAAAAAGGCTTCTGAGGCCTCTTTTCCCCCTCCCTGTCTTCTTCGTCTCAGAGCACGTGGCAGACACCTCGCACTCAGGTCTGACTGCCCCCCTTCCCTTCTGCACCACCTTCACCTCTACAGACTCAGTTACCTCATTCCAATTCCCTTGCCCATCTTCCCTTTTCCTCTGACTCTCTTCCTGCTTCTTCCTATCCTGAGCCTATTAAAACATGCCTTTTTGGGCACCTGGGTGGCTCAGTCAGTTAAGCGTCAAACTCCTGATTTCAGCTCAGGTGATGATCTCACGGTTCGTGGGTTCAAACCCCAAGTCAGGCTGCGCTGACGGCATGGAGCCTGCTTGGGACCCTCTCTCTCTCTCTCTCTCTCTCTGCCCCTCCCCCTCCAAAATAAACAAATAAACATTTAAAGATATATTTAAAAATAAGAATAAATAAAATAAAATGTGCCTCTTTAAAGTTAAGTCTTCTGAGGGTCCAAATAAACCCTGCATTGCTGACGTTCCCTAGGCTAAGGCTGAATTTTGAGCCAGAGTTAAGAGTTTCCTAAAGTGACTGAGGACCCCCATGGGTTTGCTGAAGAATTTAACATAGGTTTTCAAACTTACCAACCTAGTTTCTCAGATTTATACTAATTAGTCTGCATGGCTCATAGGTGAGGGCCAGGCCTGACACTGGATGAAACTAGTCCAAGGGGAATACCCTGAAAGGGATGCAGGGAAGCAGACCCCTCACTTTGGCAAGACGAGTGCACTTCCTGGAAATCTCCATGGAGCAAGTGCAGTAACCCTTCCTGAACCTGTGGACTGGAACAGGCTTGCACACAAAAGCCTGTGCACCTGCCCCTATGACAATCAACTCCAAATTGGCTTTAAAGAAAATTCTGGTCTTCCTTGATATGTTGAATCCACCCAGAGAGCATTTAATTACCTTTACGAATGGGCTGAACTGGGGGGCGCCTGGGTGGCTTAGTCGGTTAAGCATCCAACTTTCGCTTAGGTCATGATCTCGCGGTTCGTGGGTTCGAGCCCCGCGTCGGGCTCTGTGCTGACTGCCAGCTCAGAGCCTGGAGGCTGTTTCAGTCTCTGACTCCCTCTCTCTCTGACCCTCCCCTGCTCACACTGTCTCTCTCTCTCTCTCTCTCCTAGAAATAAAAAAAAAAATAAAAAAATAAAAAAACGAATGGGCTGAACTGTTTTTTTTTTTTTTTAGTTAAAAGGACCCGGATGGAGTGGGAAATGATGTCCACTCCCAAGTGAGTTAATCTGGCAAAGGCGCTCACTTGCACCTGTGATGCATCACCTAATAAACCGCTCAAATTCTCCACTTTCAATTCCAGCAAATGGAGTCCCGAAACAATACCAAAACCTCCTTGTTTTTGCTATTAGAGCAAAGCACCAGGACACTGGGATGAAACTGCTATCACCCTGCGCGCTGTGGGCACTTGCATCCACCAGCCAGCCTTTCCAATGTCCTCCTAACTCCCAACGTCGCGGCTTCAAGGAGCCACCGGGGCTCTTGACACAAGGCACCGGCTGACATGAGTGGCTCCCTCTGGCCCTCTACAGGAGGCTTGTCCAGGACCTCCAAGCACTGAACAACGTGGCTATCCCGCGGCACCTGTCACTCTCACCCCTGCACACCAGGGGCATCCGTTCCCAGAGAAAGCAAGTTTCTCACCGTACTTGATCTACGCAGTCACCTCCCGTATTCAGGTCAGTAAGGACAGCCACTCTCTTTTCACTTTCACTGGGGACTGTGAGTACACTGGACAGAAATGCCCCAGGGCTCCACAGAGGCTCCGTATTTCACAAATCTCAACAGCTGATTCGGATGATAGAAGGCTTTCTGTGGGCTCCACTCATTATAATACATAGATGATTTGGTTCTCCGTGCCTTTCTCAAACCTCTTCACAAGAAGACAACATCTAACTGTTAAAATTTTTGGCCTTAACGGGACATAAAATCCCCCGAAGAAAAACTGCCGTTTCCTCAGATCTGGTTTGATTCTAGGAAACCTGATCTCAGAACGAGAACTACATTTGGATCCAGGGAGGCTTCCTGAGCTTCCCCAAACCTAAAACTAAGCACCAATTACAAAGTTTTCTGGAATTGGCCGGCTAGTCAAAATTGGACTCAACATTTCCCTTGTGGCTCAATCTCTACATGCTTTAGTTTAAAAAAATGAAAGATCAGAGGCTCCCAGCTGGCTGAGTCGGTAAAGCATGCGACTCTTGATCTTGGGGTCATGAGTCCAAGCCCCACATTGGGCATAGAGCTTACTATACATATAAAAGTGAAAAGTAAAAAATGAAAGATCAGGGAGACATACTTTTGGGGACTTTAAAGAGAAGCCTGATAAGGCCCCTGACCTCAGGTATCCTAATTTTTATTATTTTATTTATTTATTTATTTATTATTTTTTTTTAATGTTTTATTTATTTCTAGGAGACAGAGAGAGACAGCGTGAGCAGGGGAGGGTCAGAGAGAGAGGGAGTCACAGACTGAAACAGGCTCCAGGCTCTGAGCTGGCAGTCAGCACAGAGCCTGACGCGGGGCTCGAACCCACGAACCGCGAGATCATGACCTATGTGAAAGTCGGACGCTTAACCGACTAAGCCACCCAGGCGCCCCTAATTTTTATTTTTTTAAATAAAGTTTATTTACTCTGAGAGAGAGAGAAAGAGAGCGTGAGTGTTAGAGGGACAGAAAGATTCCCAGGCAGCCTCCGCACTGTTGGCGTGGAGCCCAACGCGGAGCCTGACACAGGGCTGTAACTCACGAAACTTGAGATCATGACCTGAACCAATATCAAGGGTCGGACGCTTAACCGACTGTGCCACCCAGGCGCCCCAGATATCCTAATTATTAACTTCCCTTTTTCCTCTCTGTGAGAGGGAAGGGAATGCCTTAGAGCACTCATCCACAAAAACACAAGGACCGTCTATGACCCACAACCAGACCCTGTGGCATGGGAATGTCCCCTCAGCCACTTCTGTCACTAACCACAGTGTTGGGTAAGGCCACTGAAGAAATAATCATGGCACCCACTTTAACCATCCTTGTATTAGGGTGAAACCACAAACATTTATACCAAAAGTCAGCACGTGTTTGGGGTAGCTCATGACTTTGGAATGTTGGCTAACAGTGAGGCTCCCTTACCTCGACTGGGAACAGAATCAAAAATGGCTCCCATCTCCAAAATCTATCAGACGCTGCACCTTTCCTGGCAGCTCTGGTTATGATTAAGGCTCCTGGCCGTTCCAGGCGCGACTGACTCCCTGGAGACCAAAGGGAACCACCTTGTTGATATTTCTGCCAAAAATGATGCTCTTGAGGAAACCGATAGCTGAATCTCTGTCATGGTCCAAAGGGATGCTGTTCCAAGTAATAATTTGGAAAATCTGACAGGAGATACCCAACGACTGGCCCCAGAGAGGGAAAAGCAAGACTGGAAATCTATTCATCGGTGGCTCAATAAAAAGAGAGAACTCTGGTTTGGACCAAATGAACAATGTGGCCCTACC